TTTGATATGTGTTTGTACATAAATATGTATCACTTAATTATAATAAATTAGCATATACTCATCATACTAAATTAATCATAATAAATTGATAACTTTGTGTTTGGAGTGAGACGTAATATAAACTTAAGAGGTTCAGTTGAGCTAGTATTTTTAACGCAGATACTAAGTTATGAATTCATAATTATAGAAGTGTAATAGGTTAATTAGTGAGAACATAAAGGTTGAATTCATCATGTTTAAATTTTAAATTATTTTCTGTTTGATGTAAATATTGAGTGCAAATAAATATTTACTTTTTATGTATTGATAATATTTTGATCTCAACGCGCTTGGTCATGAATAATGGAGTAGGTCCAGTAATTATAAATATTGAAATTTAATATTCATAAATACTTCTCAAATTCTATTCATTATATCGTATTGAATATATTATTGTTAGTGATTTTAAAAATACATGTGACCAACTATATTTTAGTAGTGTCAAGGCAAATATTGGTGAAATATTTGAACTTTTTTGCAATTTTCAACTTCAACCAAATACTGTCCAAACACTTACCAAGTCATTTACTTTTATAGATGAGTAAAGTAGATAGTTCATCCATTATGTAAGGCATTAATTGAACTCATGCAAATGTTGTCTAAAGAAGTTTTAATTGTCTAAAAGTGAGAAAAGAAATAGGACAATTGAATTTTCTTTTTTTATAGAGATGTTAAAGGAACTTACATTTACCTTTTTACTCCATATTTACTCAAAGCACACAATTCAATGCAGTAAGCTTCTATTTTATGCAAAATTCTAGAAAGGATCGAATCACATGAATCTATTGTACACGACCTTATCATGCAGTACTCTTGCTTGCAATATGTAAAAGATGATCTTTACTATTTGGAACTAAATTTTAGCAATGATGCACAAAAAACTTTGATATGAAAATAATTCCATTAAATAAGAACCACAACTTTTAGTTTGTACATTTCACTCTCAATATCCATGTATACAAATATTTTTAAACAACCAAAAGTATTCTCAAAATAAAATGGTAAACTATTATGCTGCTTCTGCCAAAATAATCATCAAAGCACAAACTCAAGTGTCCCATATCATCACCACAGCAATTATCCCAACACCTAATAAAACAGCCAAAAACTTGAAATGAGGCTTGTCAATCAAGACCATTTTTTGAGGTTTGTATCCCTTGGAAAGCAAATGATTAATGGATACAAATATGAAAACCCCACAAGCCAATCCCATTGATATTGCAAAGATCCAGTCTGCAACAACCCCTTGAGTTGTGGCATCGATTATGATTCCGATGGCAACGCCAATTGGACTAGAGATGGCAAAGGCAAAAGCATAGGCTGCGCATGATAGTAAAGGGCGATTTGGGATCATCCTAAGTAGAGCTATTCCCATTGCAATAGCAGCAAATATCTTGTGTAAACTGACAGTCCAAAGAGCTCTCCAAGCATCGGCTTGTGAATCTGCAACACCAATGGCTATTCCCTCAAAGACCGAATGGAAACATAGTGCAACGATCAATAAGATGCTATCACCAAGTGAAGAAGCTGTTGCAAGAGGTGCTCTAGAATAGTCATTTTCTCTGCCATCAGAGACCTGTGAAAGCAATCGAGACAAATCTAATTAAGCCACTCAAACAAGAATGGATTTTTCTCCAAAGTAGTGGACTTTACCAATTAGATTTAAAGAATAAAAGGAATCCGAGAACACAAGACGGTTCTTAGAGGGAAGAAGATAAAAAATCAAGATCTTCTCTAACCTGTGACTGCCCTTGTGCGACTGTTCCGTTGCTTTTTCCATTTTCAGTATCTCCTGGAACACAACATGGGATTTGAAGTATCAGCAAAGAGTTCTTTATAGCAAAAGTTAACTACTATACAACAGCATAAAAGGAATTTATACGATCAAGGCTATTAAAAGGTAATTACAGGTTACTACCCATAATAAGTGAAGTGTGTAAATCAAAAAGTAAGTTTCGTCACATTGTCAATGGATATGATTTAAAATCCTATTGCAAAATGGATAATCAGCACAATGGTTCGAAAAGATCACCACTTTTCAAGTAAACTCCCTTGATATGGGAAGCTAAACAGAAATCAACATAATTTCCAGTTGATCTCAAGCTAAAACAGAACTCAAATTCGCATTTCCTTAAACATCATCGACCATGGAACTCTCCTACTACTCAGATTAGACATGGAAGCTAGTAAAAATTCTACAGTCAACCTCAAAATTAGGTGCAGGATGCTTTAGAAACAAAAATATCAGATTTTAAGCAAAGCTCCAATTAACTAGAAAAGGCAAGATCTTGTTGATCACTAAGTGAAAGTTTAGCACATAATATTTTTTATCAAACAAACAACATATCCCATCAAACAGCAAATGGAACTATAAAGCCACTCCAAGCACAAATATGGTTAAAATCGAGTACTTTGTCCACGCCAATATGTTTGTCAAACTTTGCTAGCTACTACCAACATTGATTTGCTTGCGGACAAGACTATTGTTAAAGTATGCCCACTACTCTTTTCTTACAATTCAAAATCCTCATCTTTGCCTTCCTCTCACTTCATTGGAGCTAAACTACATACACCCTAGAGGTAGAGTTCGTGTTGTAATAGGAGCCCCTTACGAGACTTAGCCAATTTGAAGAATTATCAAAACTAAATGAGGACTAATTCCTTTTTCCCAAAACTACAGTTTATATATAGAAAAGCTGCAGAGAAAGTATAAAGTTCAAATTTTTGTCTGATCAATCAAAATTCTAAAACAACACATAGTAAATAAATTTGATAAAAGCACAAACCTTGGAGCTGAACATCATTGTTGTTGTTATTGTTACTCTGCTTAGCATAAACAAAACAGATAACACAATCAGCTAACATAGTCATCAAATAACCAGCACATGCCAACATATAAGCAAAAGGGTACTCTTTACTTGTCAATTCCCCAAATGTCTCATTAGCATCACTTAAAAAATGCATAAGCGCAGTTCCCAAGAAAACCCCACCAGCAAATTGTGTTCCAAGAACCAAAAACCCCTCATTCCATTTCATGAAATAAGGTGAAACCCCACCAACAAAAGTCCCAAAGAAGACTATTATAAAACACCATATCTTCACTAAAACCAAAGGCCGAGATCTCAAATGGGGTTTGTCAGATTGTTCAGATAAGCCGGAATCTGAGTCAGCATCACCGTCATCATCTCCGCCGTGTGCTCCGCCGTGTGCAGCGGCGGAGATAATGAGTAGAAGAAAAAGAACAAGAAAGAAGTGTAAACGTGCCATTTGGGTTAGAGAAAATCATTGAAGGAAAAAATGGAGTTTTTTATAGAAATATATTTGGAGAAATTGATGTAGTACTGCAGGACAAACAGATTAAGACATGAGAGAGAGAAAACAACGTACTGCAATGGTGAATTATGAGAGAAAAAAATGGAAAAAATGTGAAAGTATTGTACTACTACTTACCATAAATATTATTGGTTGAGATTTTTAGTGACTCTTGACAATTCACATACCAAAGGTGTATAATTTACAGATCGTTTCAAAATAAGTATTACTTTTGACTCATTTTACGTCCATTAAAAAGTAGTTCTTTAATAAAAGGCTAATTGAAATAGTATAGTTATCAGTTATTTTAGGATAATTATTTTTGAGGTTAAAAGTAATATTTATTTTGAAACGAATGAATTAACTTTTAAAGCACATATTTTAAAGAAAAATATGAGGTTTGGTACCAAACAAAGGCTTTGTTGATGTGTCAAGACTCAAGTGTCACCCCCGAATGGGCCCTGCAGAGCGCGATTCGAATTTAATCGAAACTCCAATATAGGCTTTGGACACCGAAGAAAAAACAAAAAAAAATGTGAACTTAACCTTAAGTATAAGAGATGAGGCCACAAATCCTTAGTTCCAGTCAACTGGGGCGATGACCAAGACTTCCAATTTTTCTCATTTTCCCACAGCTTAGCCAATCACATTGTAGTATGGGTTAAAATTCGGATTTGATTGTTGGATGTATCATAAGATGACACGTGGCAATTGAAGATAGATCTGACATAATAAATATAATAACGGTCTTGATACATGAACTTGTTTGGTAGTATCAGAAGGTTCGAGAGCCAAAGCCACGAGCCACAAGATTAGAAACATTTTGATGATCGATCATGATAAGTCCAAAAGTACAATTGCCTTTGAATAAAGCATCCCTCAACAAGATTTGATAAATTTATGGGATTAATAATTGAACAACTAGTAGTTGATGATCAATTTATTACTTTCTGCTATTAAACTATTTATAATTTGAATTTGAAATAATGAGAAGTTACAACTTAACCACCAGTATACCCCACCCCCAACCTAACCTCTGCCTCCCATCTAATACTCCCTCCATTTAAAAAAGAATGACATTCTTTCCTTTTTAGTTTGTTTAAAAAAGAATGAACTCTTTCCTTTTTTGGTAATATTTTAATTTCAACTTTTCACGTGTCATGTTTAAAGCCACAAGATTGAAGGGCAATTTAGTACATTTGACATAATTTTAACTTAGGACCACAAGATTCAAAAGCCTTCTTTATTTTCTAAAACTTTGTGCCAAGTCAAACCAGGTCGCTCTTTGTGAAACAGAGGGAGTAGGAGAACACAGAAAAACTATAGTTTTGGTGATCCAAATTGATGAATATAGAAATTCCTGTACACAAGAATTAATAATAATGATTTTTTGTTATCTAAATTGTAAGAAAATACCACAAAATCATATAGTATCAAGTCAGAGCAGAAACAATATGTTGAATGAAGCTGTTGTTTGGCAAAATTTTTGATGTATTCCATTATTACAAAGGAGCAAATGATGTAATTCATTGCTTATGAGAAAAAGAATACAACCATGTTGTTAGAGAAGTAACATTCTTGAATTGAATCGTTTAGTTACACATAATTTATCACAATATCAATTACTTTTATCCTTTTTAAACTCAGAACTTCCAAAAATTAACACTAGCGACGCCAGAGGCGACCGGTCTGCTTTTGCTCTTGCATACGCCTGCATCAACAGAAGAAACTTTAATAAGAAGCATCTTAAGTTCCATGTCTTCAAGGATTTCAAATACAATCCAATAAGCACAGCAATATCTAATAAACGAATCAAGAAGAAACTTTACCTATGGTGCTCCTTCGATCGTTCAATAAACTCTTTTGCAATATCATGTCCTTGGTATGAAGCTAATACAGTTCGAATATCAGCTGGCCTATGTTTTCCAACATCTACACACATAAGTTATCGAGTCATTAAAGTGAGATTTACAAGGTGACATGATAACTACCAGATTATGTATGTCATTTGTTATTGGTATACTTACATTCAAGAAATGGAATAAGATCTAAAAGTGTAGTATCTTCCACATCTCCTTTCCATGGTTTTATTTCTACACAGTTCTCTGGCTGAAGGCTACTTTCTAATGCGTTACCACTAATATATATAATCCTTGATTGATCCCTATTCAACATGGAAAGGTCCTGCAACAACAGACACAAATGACATGGAAATCTCAACCATTCCGTCTCTTAATAGTTAGAACATAGGGTAAGGTGAATAGAACATAAAACAAATGAAAAAAAGGTCACATCAAAGAAAGAAAGGAAAGATAAATGGAAATCCCAATTATCACCATTTCCAAGGAGTGGGAAATGAAGCAAGACATAAAAGAAATTAAAAAAAAAAAAGAAGGTGAGGTTGAAAGATTTTCGTGTTGCAGTTGAAGCATAATGAATGGAAAATTTAGAGAATGAGCAAAATCACCTACTCTGTAATGCTTGCCACCCACATATTTAGTTGCTCCCCTTGATAGCCTATACCGAATACACTGCTTTGAATCCAATCTGTCGACAATAGGATCGACATACTGCAAATACCACAAGCCAAAATTTTAACTACACAACTGGTACAAAATATAGAAAACATTACGAAGGAAGTGAAAAATACCATGTTCTGTTGGTCAGAGTACACAATTATCTCAAAAAATTGAGCTAAGTGTTCCAGAAAATCCTCAACCCCGGGTCTTTTAAATGTTCTCCAGCCTCTGTCACGCTTTTAAAGGACAGGAAGTCATATTAGTGACAACAAAATGAAATGATAAAACAAGCTAAACTTCGAGGGGAAAAGCTCTACCAATAGGAAGAACCTAATGGTACGACTAATCCTCTATACTCATCCTGATCCAAAAAACGAAAAGCAATTACGGCAAATTTAAACCACCATGATTAAATAAAATCCGTTTTGTTTGTGACTAGGAATTTTACCTTCCAGTCAGAGTAGACCAATGTCTCACTTAGATCAAGAACAATGGTAAAGACATGTTGCTCCAATGGATGCAAATCTGGCAGGAGCTTGTCTGATGATGGTTCACTATAATCCTAAAGTAATCGACAAGATTTTATTTGTAATTGGGAAGAGATGACATGCAAAAAGAACAAGACTTAGAAAAGCAACATGGTTTAAAAATAAAGATGTGCATAATTACTTACTCGAACTTGTTCTTCAGTCAAGCGCCTTAGATCTAGGTAAAGCTCAACTAACTTGGCAGGCACTGGAATTTTCAGAAGGGGAGAAAACAGACCACCATAATAGTAGAGAAAGTGTAAGATTAACCCAAGAAAACTACTATAGAATGTATTACAAAAAATAAGTATCGGCATAATTAAGAAAATATAGTTATATTATTACAACAAATCATTTACAAAAAAGTGTCATCAAAATTACTAAGAAAATATAATTATACCATTATAGAATATCATATTCAAAAAAACAGTATCAACATAATTAATGAAGTATATCGTCACATCTTAGAATGAGTATTTTCATCCTTTCTTGTACCAGCTGCCATTAGCTCCACGACCCAACAAAAATAAAGCATTGAACACATTTTTTTTCTATTTTTAATCAGTATTTCTGGAATGTGGGACATAGTTAAATCCACGGATCATGTCAAATTGCCAATCACACATATAGTAAACCACATGTTATACGCCCCAATATGAGGCATTGCAAGGACAGTTCCACATATCATATACAGTCCATAACAAGCTAGTACAAGACAGACAACACTCATCCCCAAAAGTTCAGCACAAAGCTTTGTGTGCCAACAACAACAGAATTCATGACTAAAGGGAACACAAGTTTAAGGACACCTCCCTAACTAGTTGCCAAGGATATCATGCAACAAGCAGAAAAAAAAAAATTAAAGACACCAATGTGTATTAGTATTACACCTATATATTGCACACAACTGACAATGTGTGGCAAGCATAAGTTCATGTTTTTGGATAAGATGCAGAGAACTCAAAATCAGAACAAACCTGTCATTGCAGAGGAGTACAACAAAGCTTGAAATTTCTACAAAAAGAATAGGCAACTAAATATCATGAAATTTCTTTAGAAAGATGTTAACCAAATAGAACTTCTTAATCAAAATAAACAGACTTTACCTACTATTGGATTTGAACCAATGACCCCTATCATATGAAACCAATACTCTAACCATTGAATTAAGTATGTCATTTAACCATTTAAAAGAGAATCAAATAAACGTATCTAATTAATAGATTACAAATAATATTATTACTTTTTTTTTTGATGAAGTAATTAGTTCTATTGCAGGTATCAAGTAGATGCATAATAGTTACAAAAGCTTAGTAGCAAAAGGTCAGCTCTCCTTGACATTGTTAATTAAGAGTCAGGGAGCTGACAAAGTTCAAAAATGAATCAGGGGAATCTAGAGGGGATAAATAAACCCAACTATACAAAAACACGAGGCATTTAGCTTTTAAAGATTGGTAGGTAGTTGATATTCCATCAAAGCATCTTCTATTCCTTTCGTTCCAGTTACTCCAAAAAATGGCTACAGGTATCATCTTCCAGATTCTCATGATCCTTATTTGTAGGACCGAGATTGCTATATGAATAGCAGTGGTGACTCAAGCTAATTAGTGGCCTAAAGCCAAAAATAAATTGGAGGTCTAACTTTTTTTTTTTTTTGAAATCCAAAGTTATTTCTTATTTTTAATGATAAAGTTTTATTTTTTCTATGGTCTTTTTTTTTTTTAGACAAGGGTAACTTAATTTTTTCTATTGTCTTAAACTAAAAATGTATAATATACCAAAATATTTTTTAATCTTGTGATCTTAAACATGTCAAGTGGAATTTAAATTTAAAAATTACCAAAAAAGGAAGAAACATTCTTTAATGTTTCAAAACAAACTAAAAGAAAGACACTATATAATTTATTTTTTTGTTATAAAATACTTATAATAATTCTATTATTACTAAAAAAAAATGGGGAGTCAAATTTGGGGCCTAAAACGGATGCCTAATTTTTAAAGGCATTGAGCCACCCCTGATGAATTGAAAGACGGAATGATCAACTCTACCGTCAATTAAGTATTAAAATAAATAGGTCTTCAAAATGTTCATATGAAAAATTGACAATTCTTATTGGACAATCGTCACAATCCTAATCTTAGTTGTGCGGACTCTTCACTTTTGATGCCGCACCCGTGTTGAATTCACCAAAAATACACTACTTTTGGCGAATCCGACACACACCCGTTGACATATTTGAAGAGTCCGAGCAACATAGAATTCCTAATACTTCCCAGAAATTGAACTTGATCAATGAAGGAACAATACCACAATTTTTATTACTATTCATATCAAAATCCTTATAATCATAAATTTAACTATTCCTGGAACTAGTATTGTTATATCAGTGGAATCTATCCTCTATTTTGACTTGTCAGTCAAATCGGATTTCTTCCGTTTCATTGATTTTCTTTGGATCCTAGTCCTACCTTTATCTCGAAAAAGGGAAAGAAAAAGGACGCCAAAAAGTAACAAACTCAAACACTATAGTGGAAGTATATTGAATCAAGATCAGTCAATAAATGCCTTTATCATATATAAATAATGAATCGTAATAGAAACATAAATGAACTTCAGATTTGAAATTCATGGAATAGACAATATGGATGGAATTATCTATAATGATGGCAAAGGGCCCCTAGTTCCTCTCTCCAACTAATCAAATTGGCCAAAGGTGTGTGTTTATGAGCCCAACTAAATTTCTACCAATATCCGTGCAGTGTTAGAGAAACACACGTTTCTAATGGCATTAACATAGCCTATCATCTCATTCAAACTCCTTTTCAACTTTTGAAGAGTCCCACATTTACCGACAAGGTAAAAATAAGTAGCACAAACTAAACACATGATTTAAAGAAGATCGTTGAAGCTAGGGTTAGCATAATCTATCCACCACTAACTCAAGCTAAATGCTGCCTATATGCATATAATTTCAATCTTTCCTTTTAGATTTATTCGTGCATTACTCTAATGATGCAAATAAAGAACTACTTGGTCATCAGTTTAATGGCTTAGGATAACACAAACACATAGAATGAAACAAATTAGAGTAGAGCCAGACTAACATCAAAACCAGATGCACTATCACCAACAGAATAGTTTGCAGATGTACGCAAAGCCTTGGTCCTCTCCTCAACTTCGGTCAACGAATATGCTGTAGATCAAGGATATGTCAGTGTACATGAAACAATATGCACATAATACCAACAGAATATTAATGATAAAGGACAGCCTATCAGTCCCTTGACCTCTTTGCAGTTTTTCACAAAGACTATTCCATATCAACATATAAAATCGATTATGAACAACAGGATCTGAGCCTGCAATAGGACATCCTAACTAACAACATACTAAGCTACTATGAAGGCAAAAGTCTACCTAATAGCAATTACAAGAGCCTAAAAGAAGTAAGGCTTGAAAACAAGCCCATAATAATGAATTTCTTGTAATAGTACCTTGGGGACAGCTTAGAGGTTCTTAAGACTTCACTACGCGTTTGCACCCATTACCAATTTCTAAAAAATAGCGTGTTGTACCCATTAGCATTAGGAGAGGCATAGATTAATGAATCTGGCAAAAGGTTCCAACTCATACCCAGTGTAATCTCACGTAATACCACATGTGGGATCTGGGAGGGTAGGATGTATGCACACCTTACCCCTACCTTGGTGGGGTAGAGAGACTGTTTTTGAAAGACACTCAGCTCAAAAGAATCAAGCTGAATATTAGCATACAGAGATGCAACCAAAACTAAGAGCTTAACTGCAGTGCTACTTTCTTCCTGAGTTCATTAGCTAAATTGAAGGCAGTGGATTGTTATTTACCTTTGATATGTAAATGAAAAATCCCATTTGAAAAGACACCCAAGCAGAACTGCAATAACAATACCAGTTCCAGGAATAGTGTTGTTAAAGGCTCACTTAAAAGCATGCTTAAGCTCTGAGGTGTAGCACATGTTGTGCACTTCGCCTCGCTTAATTGGTGCTTTAGTGTATGTGTCAAAGTGCTAATGTGTGTGCACCTTCAACTTATGGGTTTTGTCTTAACGACTTAATAACACACACAAGAAAATGTAATGCAAGTTCAACAAAATTCACCAATCCCCTTGCTCAGGCCATCCAAATTAAGATTATCACTCTACAAATGGCTTAAAAGCATTGCATAAATGACACACTCAAGACAAGTTATTGTTGAGTTTTAAAAGGTGTGAATGAAAAATGAAGAGTTGCGACTTTTATGAAAAGATTGTGCCTTTTTCAAAGGTTTGTGACCTTTCCGGTAAGGCACAATAAGAACCTTTTCACACTACCTTTTGTTTTTATAAATTGAGGGATTTCCTCTAATTTTAATGAAACAAATTTTTCTGAACTTCTTCTACTACTACTAAATCTAGTATTCTAAGTGTACTTTACTGCCGTTGAGTGGTTCGCTGACACCGTGATTTTAGGTACCGATACACCGGTGAGTAAGATCGTTCTATCCTGGGAGGATATATTCCATTAACTTTGGGTACTTGAGGGGAATAATTTCCTTAAGGAGACACTGTGTATTCAGTGGGCTCAATTTTCTTTCTTTGAGAAAAATATTTTTATATTGTTTCTAATCTGTTTCTGATTCTATTTTCTCTACTAATTTTAATTTTCTAGTTTGAAAATACTCTTTAAACTTTGTTGTTTCTTACCAAGTTCTTCAAAGTTTTGTTCTAAGTATCTTAGGAATATAAGATGAACAACACTTATTAGATCACACAGCTGAAACGGACGGAGTACTTTGTTAGTCTTAATTAATTTCTCATGTGAATGATTCAGGCTAGCTCAATAGATGCACAATCAAAGGCGTATCTAGAGGGGCTGCCGTGGGTTCACGTGAACCCATGCTCCCCTTTTTAGATCATATATAGTAGTGTCATATTTTAAAAAAAATAAAAAATATAGATGTGTGAACCCATGTTCAAAGTATCATATAATAATACGATGATGATTGGGTGCACTTATCTAAGTGAGTATAGAAATTTAAATCTTATATCTATTTTGTCTTTTTGAGTAACACCTCTCCAAGTGGTTATCAGTTATACTTTTGACGTTTCAACTAATTTTGCTTTTTTTTTCCTTTAATCTTTCAAAATTTTCAAGTGTGTTACATTGAAAATTCCTAAAATATTTAGCACTCTAAATTTTTATATAATTAAATCAAATGTGTATATTAAAATTTAAAACTAGTAGTATTATATATTTTGGACCTGTAAGTTTTAAAATTTAATGGTTCATATTAAGAACTAAAAAGTCAAATCGATCAAATTTATATTTAAGATACATTTTTCGTAATCGTGCACCCATCTAGCCGAAATCTTGAATACGCCTGTGTCAGCACAATGAAGCTCAAAATTCCACATCCAAATTAATCCTCAATAAATCCAAGTAAAATAATACTGGAAGGGAAGACTAATCAAAATTAAGACTGTAAAATTGAATGTACCGTAAGTAGCATAACCAGCAGTGGCAGCACCGCCGGTGAGGGCAGCAACAAGGCTGTACTTGAGAAAATTCCATGACTTGTTCTCAGCTCCGGCGGCCGCGGCGGCGGAAGAAGGTTCAGGGAGAGGAGGCGAAGGAGGAGGCTGGTCATGGAGAAGAGCGGTCGACAAAAAACGCCGATAGCTTCTCGTAATTCGGAATCGTGATCGAGCTACACCGTACATTTTATGCAGAGGGATTTAGGAAGAAGAATTTGACCGGACTGTTAAAATTGCACAGCCGCCCCTATATGCTTTGGATCATGAGGACCGGATTGTCTCAGATATGCCATATGATTTTTATTGGTATTTTTTCCTTTTAATTTATGTGATTTTTTTTATTGATTTAAAATAGATTGATATTTTTTTTATAGGTATTAAATAATAATTTCATTTTTTTAAAAAAATCATCTATTTTTATGTTTTGATTCCAATCATATATGTTTTGTTATCAATTGCTTGAATAATATGATAAGGTCCTTAAAAAAGTTATTGTGATGGAAAAATTTCTTATAACTTAATTTAAAATTATTTTTGATGGTAGGATTTTAGTGATCTGATTTGATCATCAAATTAATTCATTGGATAATTTTTAATGGTTAGAGTATTGTAATTTGTCAATAAGTTATATTGAAGAGTGTGAAGTACAAAATTTTCTTTAACTTGAAATAACTATAATTATGGCAAAAATTTTATAGCCATTTAGCACTTCAAAATTAGTAAATTATTTATCATACTTGCGTACCAAATATTCATGGTCTTGCAACAATGATCGAAAGATATTAGGTATGACTAAATGCTTATGGAATTAATGCTCGATTAAAATGAAATATGTTAGCTAATGGTGATGAGTTTAATGTGACATCCCGCCACTTTGCCAATCTGATTTCGCCTCCGGATAGGGGTAGAAGGTTCTAGAGTTGAGGAGAGGCTTGCGGAGAACTCTAGAATCCTTTAGATTTTTCAAGAAGGCTAGGGAAAGTCCTTAGACAATGTAGAATTCTCTAGAAAAGGGATCAATGTGTAAATATCTTAAGGACTTGTATAGTAATTTTAAATTACACTTTAGTCCTTAGTTGATAGTATAAATAGAGGTGTCATTCATTTTGCAAGGCATCACTCAACTTGTAAAGTAATCTTCCAAAGCAATACAAAAAGCCTTCTTCAAAAGCTCTTTTTTGATCTTTCTAAGTCTTTCCTTTGATTCTCTTAGCGATCTTAGCATAAAGAGCTTACTTGAGCTTACAAGACCTTGAAAGATAGTGAGTAAGTTGTCAAGAGCCGCACGGAGCATTAGTGAAAACTCTAAGTTTGTGACAACGTGCGAGGTTTGAACTAAGGGAATGACAACCGAAGGAGGCGTAAACATCGCTAGCACGATCAACGTCCGTCCGAATGGTAGAAGGAAGAACCGCAAGGGAAAGAAGCACCAAAAGAGTAATAAGGAAATGTTGCTTGAACCCACACCAAGCGAGGGGCTAACATCTCATCCACCTTCGACCACCGAAGCAAGTGACGATGAACTTGGCGATGAGGCCATTGACGTCACCGCTAGAGAAGAATAGGTCGCAAGGGTTGAAGTGGCGAGGTAGGCCATGGAGATATTAGGCCGGCGCATGAATGTGGCCGACGGCAAGTTCAAAACTCTTGAAGACTTCACCCTTGAGAAGATCGAAAACATCCGTAAGGAGTTGGAGGGACGCCAACGAGCCGAGTTCGAGATGAAGGAAGCCATCACTTCCTTGGAGTGCCGGCTCATGGAGGCGTTATGCACAATTGAAACCATGAAGGCCGAGATGAAGGCACTCAAGGAAGGCATGGAAGCTGGAGGATTGGCATTACCCGACCGTGACAGGGAAGCCAGGATCGAGGCTCTTAAACCACCTATATTTAAAGGCGTCTGTGACGCTCAAGAGGTGGAGAACTTTTTGTGGCACTTGGAAAATTACTTCAAGTGTAGTCGGGTGAAGAGTGACGAGAACAAGATCAACATTATCGTGTTGTATCTTTCAGAGATAGTCATGTTTTGGTGGAAGCGCAAGGAAATCGAGATAGGGAAGGGGACGTGCACCATCAACACGTAGGAGCAATTTCGCGAGGAGTTCAAGAAAGCCTTCTTCCCTAACAACGTCGTATATGAGATTAAGCGCAAGTTCAGGGAACTGAAGCAAACATGAAGCATTCGGGCATACGTGAAAGAGTTCACAATTCTAACGCTTCAGATTCCCAACCTCGCGGATGAAGACATGGTGTTCCACTTCATGTACGGACTGCAGAATTGGGCCAAAACAGAGTTGGAGCGCCGGCAAGTCAAGACCATTGATGAAGCCATCACCCAAGCCGAGTCCTTGACCGACTATAAACATGAATGGCATGACAAGGCAAAGGGCAAGGATACAAGGAATAGTCATGCCAAAGGTGAGGGAGATCGTGGCCGAGGCAAGGAGCAGCAGGCACACCCTAGGTAACACGACTCTCACAAGCCGGACGGTAAGCGGTTCGGGCGCCAGAACTACACGGAGAAGAAGGCGCAGACCACCAAGGGAGATGGTTGCTACATCTGCGGAGGACCACACGACTATGCCAGGTGCCCAGAGATGAAGAACCTAGGTGTCATCCTACGCGAGCGGAAGGAGAAAGACGCACAGGACCAAGGGCAGGACGCGGGCACGATGCAGTTAGGCATGGTGGGACTATGCGGTGCTATTTCCAAACAGACGAAGAAGCAAGGAGACTTCAACACGCAATATGTAAACATCTCCATTAATGGGCGGCCAACTCGTGCCATGGTAAACTCCGGGGCCAAGGCAAACATCATGACCAAGACGGCGGCAGAGAGGTTAGGGCTGAACTATGTTCTAAGCAACACCCGCCTCAAGACGGTCAATGCACCACCAACTCCCGTGTGCGGAGTCGCCCAAGGAGTGAGCATCACAATGGGAAAATGGTAAGGTAAGACAAACTTTATTGTCGTTCCTTTAGATATCTTTGACATCATTCTTGGGCAGAAGCATCACGTCCCGCAATTTTGCCAATCTGATTTCGCCTCCGGATAAGGGCAGAAGGTTCTAGAGTTGAGGAGAGGCTTGCGGAGAACTCTAGAATCCTTTAGATTTTTCAAGAAGGCTAGGGAAAGTCCTTAGACAATGTAGAATTCTCTAGAAAAGGGACCAATGTGTAAATATCTTAGGGACTTGTATAGTAATTTTAAATCACACTTTAGTCCTTAGTTGGTAGTATAAATAGAGGTGTCATTCATTTGCAAGGCATCACTCAACTTGTAAAGCAATCTTGCAAAGCAATACAAAAAACCTTCTTCAAAAGCTCTCTTTTGATCTTTCTAAGTCTTTCCTTTGATTCTCTTAGCGATCTTAGCATAAAGAGCTTACTTGAGCTTACAAGACCTTGAAAGATAGTGAGTAAGTTGTCAAGAGCCGCACGGAGCATTAGTGAAAACTCTAAGTCCATGACATTAAGCTCTACATTATCGTGAATTATAAACAACTCGATAAAAATGAAATATGTTAACTAATAGTGATGTGTTTAAGCTCTACATTGTCGTGAATTATAAACAACTAAATTAAAATGTAAGTGCAATTGAATAAAGAAAAATCTTAGGACATTCTATGATTGGTTAATTTGATATACACTTGTAATTTATCACCTATTAAAATTTGATGGATGAATCGTATTCTAGAGAATAACAGTGTAGCCTTCTACATTATATAGTTGTACCATACAATCAACAGTTTTAATTGTCTTCAATACTCCATTATGTTTCTATAGGCGATAGAGTCAAAATTCATATATGAAATCAAGTTTAAAAAGTTTTGCTGCAACACATGTATCTGACACGTGTCTCACACATATGTAAACATTGACACACAGGGGATACATTTGATACGTATAGAATACACAAGTGATACACAATAGGAATATACACCTCAACGTCTTGCATATTTATTTGTCACGTTTCGCTTTTTGAAAGTTAGTTTAAATTTTGACTAACATTAAGATATTTTTTTCTTGTCATATTAACATGAGAATAATTACAACTTATACATTTTATTCAAATGATTCTCAAACATCAAAATTTCAAATATCAAATTAAATTGATCCTCGTAAAATAAATCGTAACAAATAAAAATCAACGGAGGGAGTACATTTTTCTAGCTAGATGTAGTTGGCTAAACATTAAATGAATGAATTGAAGACTCCGATAAGAGTATCTAGAACTCTCCATTTGGGAAATGGGAAAAAAATAATAATTTCTAATACACTTTCTAGACCATTTAAAATAATTTGAAAACTTTCTAGAACATACTTGTCATGTTTTAATTAGGAAAAAGGGTCAAATATGCCCCTAAACTATTCGAAAATGTCTAGATATACCCCGTTTAAAATTTGGCTCACTCATGCCCTCACCGTCCAACTTTTCGCATAGATATGCCTTTATGGGCGTTAGTTATCTGCTGGACATATCCAACTCATTTTCTTTTCTTTAAATGCCACATGGAATTGCTATGTCATTTTGACTTTACCACATGACATTTATATGAAAATGGAAAGGGATCAATTATGCCCCTAAAAAATTCGGACCCATAAACACCTAATCCGACCTATAAATCACCCCCCCCCCCTTTTAAATAAACTACCCGACCCGTTTTCAACAATTTTGTTTTAAATTTTTTTTTTTTTTTGGGTAAATCCCGAAAATGAGTAATTGATTAATAAAAAATATGAAAAAAATATAAAATTAACGCAAAAAATTCACAAAAAAATATTGTAACCTTAAATTCAATAATTTCAACAATTTTTTTAAATTTTTATTTTTTTTGATAAATCCCGAAAATGAGTAATTGATTAATAAAAAATATATAAAATTAACGCCAAAAAATCACAAATAAATATAGTAACCTTAAATTCAACAATTTCAACAATTTTTTATAGTTTTTATTTTTTTTCGGCAAATCCCGAAAATGAGTAATTTATTAATAAAAAATAGGAAAAAATGAAAAAAAATATAAATATTACGCCAAAAATTCACAATTAAATATAGTAACCTTAAATTCAACAATTTCAACTATTTTTTTTAATTTTTATTTTTTCGGGAAATCTCGAAAATGAGTAATTGATTAATAAAAAATAGGAAAAATATGAAAAAAATATAAAATTAAAAAAATTATTGAATTTAAGGTTACTATATTTATTTGTGAATTTTTGGCGTTAATTTTATATTTTTTTTCATAATTTATTAATCAATTACTCATTTTTGAGATTTACCAAAAAAATAAAAATTAAAAAAAATTGGTGAAATTGTTCAATTTAAGGTTACTATATTTATTTGTGAATTTTTTGTGTAAATTTTATGCATATTTTTTTCATATTTTTCCTTTTTTTATTAATAAATTACTCCTTTTCGGGATTTGCCGAAAAAAATTGTTGAAATTGTTGAATTTAAGGTTACTATATTTTTTTGTGAATTTTTGGCGTTAATTTTATATTTTTTTCATACTTTTCATATTTTTTATTAATCAATTACTCATTTTCGGGATTTACCAAAAAAATAAAAATTTTAAAAAATTATTGAAATTGTTGAATTTAAGGTTACTATATTTATATGTAAATTTTTGACGTTAATTTTTTTTCTTCATAATTTTTATTAATCAATTACTCATTTTTGGGATTTATCAAAAAAAATAAAAACTAAACAAAATTGTTGAAAACGGGTCGGATAGTTTATTTCAAAGAGGGCTGATTTATGGGTCGGATTAGGTGTTTATGGGTCCGTATTTTTTAGGGGCATAATTGATCCCTTTTCCATTTTCATATAAATGTCATGTGGTAAGGTCAAAATGACATGACAATTTCATGTGACATTTAAAGAAATAGAAAATGAGCTGGATATGTCCAGCAGACCAACTAAAGCTCATAAGGGCATATCTATGCGAAAAATTGGACGACGAAGGTATGAGTGAGCCAAACTTTAAACGGAGGATATATCTAGACATTTTTCAAGGTAGATGTAGTTGGCTTAAACATTAAATGAATGAATTGAAGACTCCAATAAGAGTATCTAGAACTCTCCATTTGGGAAATGGAAAAAAAGAATTTAATTTCTAATACACTTTCTAGAACATATTTGTCATGTTTTAATTATTGTTGTTACAACACTTGTCATGTTTTATTATTACTGTTCATTCACTACACTCACGCTTAACGTGCAACTTCACACTACTTTTTTCTTTAATAACGTAAGTCAGCTCATGACTTGCTAGATATTTTTTGGAAGCATAATAATCGTGAGAGATTAAAAGATCGTTTTCGACCGTAAAAAATAATTTTATATTTTTATTATACGAAAAGTAAATAGATTGTTTTTGAAGTATTCTCGATTTCAACTCACGTTGATTGAAGCATACATTATAAGCCGTTAATTTTCCTAATTTGAAAATACAAAAAGCGACTGCTAACCACTCTGCCTATTCATTTGTGTATTGTTTGATTTTTAGACACGACACGCAAATTAGTTGCTTACCATTTAGTGTTTTCTTTAGTTTATTTTATAAGTTCGTTTTCAAAAAGAATGTTATTTTATTATAATTAAAAATAATTTAATTTTTAAATTTTGTTTTTTTATCTTTAATGAAAAAATTTATACCCCATAAATATCTAATAATTGTTTTAGATTGCAAATTTTAGAATTTTTTTGTTCTGCTTAAACATAGTACCAAGTTAAACGATGCAATACAAAATGAGACAGAAGGAATACAATTTTTGGTGTTTTCTCTTTCTTAAATTCATTATTATAGCTCACCATTAAGAAATGTGGCACAACATATGTGATTTCCCTCTCTTTTAATCAGATGTTTTAGATTCAAATCATTAAAAATCGCTAAAAAGAAAAAATAGATCAAGTAATGAGTTTTCAAAAAAAATTAATTGATGTTTATATTAGTAATTTGCTAGCATAATCTATGAGTCTATTTATTTGTTGATTTTGTAACTAATACATCTTTATTAGTAGAAAACATGTTTCCTTATTAATGCGTAAATTTTCCGCTACATAGTCTTACTTCTACCTTACGGTAATAAAAAGAACGACTTGTTGACCAAGCAACTATCTTTGTCTCTTTCTAAAAATTCCAAAAATGCCCTTGAATTTCTACCTATATATAAATGTCCATTTTCTTTCAACACTTCAAGCAAATTAAACTTTCTCATTTTCATCTTCCCCAAATAATACTATTAAATGTATTTTCCAACAATGGCTTTTAGTTGGGTTGTTGCAATTGCAAACACAATTACTCTTGGAAACTCAAAATCAACGCTATCATCAATCGAATTCAACAAAAATCAAACGAATCAGAGTATCATTTCCATTTCGAATGAAAAAAATTCCGAGTTTTTTCAAATGCCTCTTCATTATCCGAGATACACAAAGCATGACTACGATAAGATGGAGGAATGGAAGATCGACGCGCTTCTGAGAGAATATGGACTTGATTTTCAGGGGACTGTTGATGAGAAGAGGAGATTTGCTATAGGTGCATTTGTGTGGCCTGATCAACTTTGATTTTTGTCCTAATTTGGTTATATATGTTCTGGTTTTGAGATTGAGACGGAGTTGTTGTTATAGATGTCTTTATGACTAGTTCGAGTTTAAATTTGTCCTCCTTGTTCGAATATATATGATAGTGTGATTCTAACGTGTTTGAGATTGAGACAGAGTAATTGTTGTAATAGATAATTTCATTTGTGGCTGAACAAGTTTAAATTTGTCCTAATAGGTCAAGCATGCTCTGTTTTTTTCTTATTTATTATAGCGGAATTTAACTTGCTTCAAATTGAAACGGAGTAGTTATTGCTATTACAAATATTGTAATATTCTATCTTCTCTTCAAAATACTTGTTAAAAATGAAGAAAATGTTCATGTTCAAGGTGTTTTAATTTACACCTTCAACACAACTCGTATTATGGTGCTAGATCGAAAGTTCCATTGTTCTAAAAAAAAGTACTCCCTCTGTTTCAATTTATGTAAAATTTGATCAAATTGATCAAAAATTTTGATATTTGTTAGGTGGGCCAACAGATCGATTTAGTTGGTCTGAATTTTCATATCATAAAACATACTATTGTGTTCATGGAATTAGATTGGGCCAATAAATGAAGCAATTACATATTGTTGGGTCACTTGAAGTTAATAGGGCCACAGTCCACTGCCATCCTCACGCAAATTAGTTTTGCTAATTTGCTGTCTACTTTTTTTTTTAATCTTTATACATAATTATATATTCATTCTAATTTATACGCGATAATATACATATTATAACCTCACTATAACATCCTTATATAAAAATATTTTACTATAATAGTTAAGAAAATACATTTTTGTGTTATATTTTTCGAATTGTTGTGTTTTTAGTGTATGCATTGCGCGTTTCGATGTGAATGTTCAGTAGAAAATACTTATGGGTGTCTGTTTAATTTCTTGTCCTAACTCAATTTAGGGTTGTTCATAAGTTTTTTATGCATTAAAAGTTGTATATGTCGGTTAAAAATTTATTTGACATATATGTTCTTCTTATCCTATGTGAAAATTCAAGAGAATTTACCCATGGGTGTTGCTTAGTCTCTTACAATAGCTCAATTTAAAACTAATGTCTCAAGTTAGAGTTGTTCACAAGTTTTTAATCCATTAAATTATTGGGAAGATGTTGGAAAAGTTGTATATGTTGGTTTAAAATTTATTTGATATATATGTTCTTCTCAATTTAAAGTTGTCCACAAGTTCAAAACCACAATTTATCAGTAGCATAACGGCCGATTACCCATCCAAATTCATCAAAAACCCAAAGAGAATTTGGCAATTTCAGTTCTATTTTTTGACTTATGGGCAATGAGCTATCCACTTCGTATCGAAAATTTGAAATATTGCTTTCCATTCTCTACAATTCAACTTAAACGTGGATATTGGCAAAACTTTACCATGGTTTGCGAACGCACACCTTTGGCCAATTTGATTCGATGGAGAGATAAACCAGTGGTCCTTTTTATTGTACAATTTTTCGTTTTGTGCTAACATTAATTAAACATCACAAGCAGCTCTGGATAAAGAACTTACTTGATTTGTTATATCATAAACAATTATATATAGCAGCTGCAGCTCCTCTGTAATACATTGGAGCTAGACTGTGATTACAATTATAAATTTTCCTCTCCTGCCGTTGTGTGTTTCACGCAACATTCCGTTCACAAGAAGCATTTCATCAAGGCCATTCTATTGCATGTTATTCGTCTTGTATTCCCAAGATACTTAGAATAAAACTTTGAAGAGTTTGGTAAGACACAATAAAGTTTAAGAACATTTTCACAACTAGAAAATTAAAAACTAGTAGAGAAACTAGAATCAGAAACAAGTTAGAAAAAATATACGAAATATTTTTTCTTAAAGAAGAATTGTTGTCAATCTGTGTTTAAAGAATCTTACTGATTCCAACAAACTTTGCAGAAACACGAAGTTACCAAAGTTTAATGAACCAGTGAAGAACAGAAGAATATAAATTAATTCACAATTCTAAAATTTGTAACACATATCAGAATCTGGAAAAAAACAGAAAGAAGATCAAGCCCACTGAATGCACAGTGTCCCCTTAAGGAAATTATTCCCCTCTAGTATCCGAGGTTTGATTTGGAATATGTCCTCCCAGGATAGAATGATCTCAATCACCAGTGTATTGATACTCAAAACGCTGGTGTCAGCGAGCCACTCAACGGCAGTAAAGTACACTTAGAATACTAGATTTAGTAGTAGAAGAAGAAGTTCAGAAATTCGTTCTTAAAATGAGAGGAAATCCCTCAATTTATAGAAAACAAAGGGTAGTGTGAAAAGGTTCTTATTGTGCCTTACCGGAAAGGTCACAAACCATTGGAAAAGTCACAATCTTTCGGAAAGGTCACCACCTTTCATAAAAGTCACAACTTTTCATAAAAGTCACAACTTTTCATAAAAGTCACAACTTTTCATAAAAGTCGAAACTTTTCATAAAAGTCACAACTCTTCATAAAAGTCGCAACTTTTCATCAAAGTCACAACTCTTCATAAAAATCGCAACTCTTCATTTTCCATTCACACCTTTTAAAAACCCAACAATCCCCCACATGAATGGGGAATGACTCCAAGACAAAGAAACGGACAAATATGTGTACTTTACAAGCAAGAATAAATTGCATCTGGATAAGTAGGTTTCCCTTGGACTTTCCGTAGTGAACATATGTCGGATATACTCGGTCAATCGGTAGATGCGATATCTTTGAACCGTCGAGCTTTAGTGTATACCTAGACAACCATATGTCACACAATTAACCCTTTACCGTTTATGGTTCTTACGGTTGTGTTCGTTTCAGCCATGAACACCTCCTGGTTTCATGAGTGTATAGAGAGATGGGCTTTTGACAATCATCCTCTTTGAAACGGCTTACACTTCACACTCACATAGGTGATTTCTAACCGTGTTATCGCGTAAATACACTATTTGGTCAAATCTGCCAAACTTAGCAAATCATTAAAAACATTAAGCTTTATTAACTCTATAACAAGCCTTAATGATGTATCCTTGTTCCTGAGCATTGTCTTCATCATGAGAATGGATTGAGTTGGTTGACAATGCCGAACCGTCAGTCACAACTTTGTTTTTCTCCTTGAATCTAGCTCTTGGGATCTCCAGTCTGCTAGATAGAGTTACCGCCATGATGACTTGTCCTAAGCCGTAAACCCATTCCATAGATGATCTTTAAACTTTCTCTCTAGTTAGGCCTTTTTGTAAGTGGATCCGACACATTATCCTTTGACTTTACATAGTCAATTCTGATAATTCCACTAGAGAGTAGTTTTCTAACTGTATCTTGTCTATGTCCTATATGACTAGACTTTTCGTTATACATCATTCTCCATGCCCTACTATTGCAACTTGACTATCAAAGTGTATGCATACTGATGCCAAAGGTTTGGGCCAAAATGAATATCTATCAAGAAATTCCGGAGTCTTTCAACTTGTTCACCGACCTTATCTAGAGCACCTAGCTCAGAGATCATTGTAGAGCTAGCGATACATGTCTTTTTTTTTTTTTCTTTTTTAAAAAAAAAATATATATTTCCAAGAGACTGCTCCTCTACCAAGAGTAAATACATATCCACTCGTGGATTTCACTTCATTTGTCTGGTGATCCAATTCGCATTACTATATCATTTCAATACTATTGGATATTGTTAAAATGCAAGACATAGTTTTAAGTATTTCTTAAATACTCCAAAACTCTTTTCATTTTCATATAATGAGTTCGATTGGGATAACTCGTGAACTGACTCAGTTTATTAATAGCAAATGTTATATCTGATCGCGCACACTTCGTGATATACATCATACTTCTCAATACTTTAGCACAATCCAATTGTGAGTCACTTTTGCTTTCACTCTTTTGAAATGCAAACCTCACATTTATTGGAGACTTGACAATATTGAAATCCAAATATTTGAAACTAGTCAAGTACCGTTTCAATGCAATGAGACCGCGAATATGCTAAACATTATGGAGTTCTAAGGATTCTTATACTTAAGATCGCATCAGCAACTCCAAAAATTTTCATTCCAAACTTGCTTTCTAGCATACGTTTAGTAGCATTTATGCCATTAGTGTCTCTATTGATGATCAACATATCACCAATTATACAAACAAACAATGACCTAGTGATTTTAATGTAAACACATTTTTTCACTTCCATCATTCTTAAATCCATTTACCAACATAGTTTGGTCAAATATCTTATGTCATTGTTTGGGCGCTTGTTTTAGTCCATAAAGTGACTTAACAAGTTCGCACACTTTCTTTTCTTTACCAAGAACCACAAAACCCTTGGGTTGTTTCATGTAAATTTCTTCTTCCAAGTCTCCATTTAAGAGAGTTGTTTTCACATTCATTTGATGAATTTGGAGGTCATATACCACAGCTAATACAACTAACATCCAAATGAATGTAATTCTAGTTACTGACGAGTATGTGTCGAAAAGATCAAGACCTTGTTTTTGTCTTGCTTTATATCTGTCAACAGTTCCATCGACTTTCATTTTCCTTTTGAGGATTCACTTTTAACCCAAAAGTTTTATTTCCTGGGGAAGATCAACCAACTTCCAATAGGATTCTCAAGATTGAACCAATCTCACTATTAATACCATCTGTCCAAAAGGATGAGTCTACAAAAGACACAAGAAATGTTACAAAATCATATTCGAAGAAAGTAGATGTACTTTGACATTTTACTACACCTCGGAATATCTTTATTAAGTACATTCTCTTTTTTCCTTTTCAAGGTCTTTTAGACCCTTCACTAGACTACTCAAGTCTAATTTTACAGTCCACAATCATAGGTCCTATTTTAATCCTTTTAGAAATAGGAACTTGGACTTTAGCTAGACACCCCCACACTTTGAAATATTTCAAGTTGGATTTCCTTCCTTTCCATTTCTTATATGGAATAGATTGTGTCCTGAACAAACAAAATTGCTTTCTTTCTAAAAAGACAAAACTTTTTGTCGTTCCCTTTTGCAGTAAGGATAGTTCCTCCACACAAGTTTTGTGGTAAACCCGAACTTATAAATAGTGCATCCATCATTTCTTTCAACGTTCGATTTTTCATTAGATTGAGGAGAATAGGGCAGCAGTTTGAT